GAGGATTGGGAGAATGTCATATGGTCAGATGAAACCAAAATAGAACTTTTTGGTAAAAACTCAACTCGTCGTGTTTGGAGGACAAAGAATGCTGAGTTGCATCCAAAGAACACCATACCTACTATGAAGCATGGGGGTGGAAACATCATGCTTTGGGGCTGTTTTCTGCAAAGGGACCAGGACGACTGATCCGTGTAAAGGAAAGAATGAATGGGGCCATGTATCGTGAGATTTTGAGTGAAAACCTCCTTCCATCAGCAAGGGCATTGAAGATGAAACGTGGCTGGGTCTTTCAGCATGACAATGATCCCAAACACACCGCCCGGGCAACGAAGGAGTGGCTTCGTAAGAAGCATTTCAAGGTCCTGGAGTGGCCTAGCCAATCTCCAGATCTCAACCCCATAGAAAATCTTTGGAGGGAGGTGAAAGTCCGTGTTGCCCAGCGACAGCCCCAAAATATCACTGCTCTAGAGGATATCTGCATGGAGGAATGGGCCAAAATACCAGCAACAGTGTGTGAAAACCTTGTGAAGACTTACAGAAAACGTTTGACCTGTGTCATTGCCAACAAAGGGTGTATAACAAAGTATTGAGAAACTTTTGTTATTGACCAAATACTTATTTTCCACCATAATTTGCAAATAAATTCATTAAAAATCCTACAATGTGATTTTCTGGATTATTTTTTCTCAGTTTGTCTGTCATAGTTGACGTATACCTATGATGAAAATTACAGGCCTCTCTCATCTTTTTAAGTGGGAGAACTTGCACAATTGGTGGCTGACTAAATACATGTTTTCCCCACTGTAAGCTTCTTGTGCATATGGAAGATTCTGGGATTCTTTTGTTTCAGCTCATGAAACATGGGACCAACACTTTACATGTTGCGTTTATATTTTTGTTCAGTATAATACTTTGATTTATACGTTTACATGTTTTGCAAGAAGAACAATTTCCCTAATAATCTTGTTTACGTGACATCTGAAATCAGGCAACCTGATGGGATTTTAATATATGCACAAAATCGCCAATCAAAATAAACGTTCCACCACAGCAAGCATGTTATTTTGGGAAAGCCTTTTTTATGCTGAGTTCGGACATATAATGTTTGTATGTGAAAACTATTTATAAGATGCATACAGATTTCTTAATTTGATACAGTTTGCTACAGCAGGAAAATAATCCTGCAGCAACAGGAAGTGGATGGTGACAAACTTTTTACTTTTAAACTCTAACAAAAGAGATGCTAGTTCTAGGTCCCAAGAATCAAAGAGATCTGCTGTTAATCTTGATGGTTGTATAGTCGTCTCAAATAAAACTGTGAAGGACCTAGGCGTTACTCTGGACCCTGATCTCTCTTTTGATGAACATATCAACAATATTTCAAGGGCAGCTTTTTTCCATCTGCGTAACGTTGCAAAAAATCTGAAACGTTTTGTCCAAAAATTATGCATAAAAGCTCATCCATCCTTTGGTCACTACTAAATTAGACTACTGCAATTCTCTACTCTCCGGCTACCCGGATAAAGCACTAAATAAACTTCAGTTATTACTAAATGCAGCTACTAGAATCTTGACTAGAACCCCCCAAAAATATCATATTACTCCAGTGCTAGCCTCTCTGGCTTCCTGTTAAGGCTAGGACTGATTTCAAGGTTTTACTGCTAACCGACAAAGCATTACATGGACTTGCTCCCTATCTCTCAGATTTGGTCCTGCCGTATATACCTACACGTACGCTACGGTCACAAGACGCAGGCCTCCTTATTGTCCCTAGATTTTCTAAGAAAACAGCTGGAGGCAAGGCTTTCTCCTATAGAGCTAAATTTTTATGGAATGGTCTGCATATCCATGTGAGAGACGCAGACTCGGTCTCGACCTTTAAGTCTTTACTGAAGACTCATCTCTTCAGTAGGTCCTATGATTGAGTGTAGTCTGGCCCAGGGGTGTGAAGGTGAACGGCAAGGCACTGGAAAGACAACCCACCCTTGCTGTCTCTGCCTGTCCATCTCACCTCTCTCCACTGGGATTCTCTGCCTCTGACCCTATTACGAGGGATGAGTCACTGGCTTACTAGTGCTCTTCCATGTCGTCCCTAGGAGGTGAAGTCACGTCGTGCTAGGCTTATTTCGCTATACTCGACTTGAGTGGGTTGAGTCACTGATGTGATCTTCCTGTCCGGTTTTGCGCCCCCTTGGGCTCGTGCGGTGGAGAAGATCTTCATGGGCTATACTCAACATTGTCCCAGGGTAGCAAGTTGGTGGTCTGTTGATATCCCTCTAGTTGTGTGGGGGCTGTGCTTTGGCAAAGCGGGTGGAGTTATATCCTGCCTGGTTGGCCCTGTCCGGGGGTATTGCCGGACGGGGCCACAGTGTCCCCCAACCCCCCCTGTCTCAACCTCCAGTATCTGTGCTGCAATAGTCTATGTGCCGGGAGGCTAGTGTCAGTCTGTCCTGTCTTATCTGGTGTACTGTGTGAATTTAAGTATTCTCGCTCTCGCTCTCTCTCAAGACCTGAGCCCTAGGACCATGCCTCAGGACTACCTGGCCTGATAACACCTGGCTGTCCCCAGTCCACCTGGTCGTGTTACTGATCCAGTTTCTGCTGTTTTGCCTGTGGCTATGAAACCCTGACCTGTTCACCGGATGTGCTACCTAGTCAGGACCTGCTGTTTTTTCCCCTCTCTCTCTCTCTCTCTCTCTCTCTCTCTCTCTCTCTCTCTCTCTCTCTCCTCTCTCTCTCTCTCTCTCTCTCTCTCTCTCTCTCTCTCTCTCTCTCTCTCTCTCTCTCTCTCTCCTG